CGCCTGCGGCAGCGGGGGCCCCCCCGACGGCCCCGCGGAGGCGCCGCCGCCCGCGCGGCCGAGGCCGCGTCGCAGGGAAGGGCTGGGACGACGATGAGATGCAGGTCGAGGAGGAGGATGGCGCCACCGTCTCGAAGGCGGTGGTCTTTGCGGCTCCGGGGGCGGAGGCGGCGAGGGGGGCCGCGGTCGCCACCGCGGAGTTGCCGTCCGACGTTTGGGCGGACTACCTGCCGGTTGCGCAGGGGGGCGCCCTCCGGGCGGCAGTGGCTCGGGCGAGGACCAGGACAAGAACAAGGTCGTGGGCGGCAAGGGCAAGGACAAGGGCAGGGCGCGGGATCTCCTCGCGCGGCGCGCCGTCGACCTCTCGGAGTGCCTGGGCCACCGCATCGGCGACTTCTCGGCGCTCAGCTGGGGCGAGCTGCACGCCGTGGTCGGCCTCTTGGAGAAGGATTTGGCCTCGCGCGGCAGTCGTGCGGCTGGCGGTGCCCGTGGAGGTCGGCGTCGGCATTGAGTCCGACGTGCGGGCGCTGGCGGCATGCGTTGATGGAAGACCGCTAGCGCCTGAGCTGGCCAGCTTCTGTGCTCGCAGCAGCTGGCGACTGTTCCTGGTGCCTTCGAGCGGTTTGGTGCTGGTGATAATGTTGGCGATTGTGGTGATGATGCTGGTGTTGAGTGGCTTGGTGATGATGGCAATGGTGATGATGATGATGAGGAGGAGGATGATGATGATGATGATGTTGAGAGGGATGGTGATCATGGCGATGCTGATGTATGGTGGTTATGATGTGGATGATTATGATCATGCTGGTGGCGGCTGTGATAATGCTGCTGAGTCTGATGGTTGTGGTATTGCGGATGATGGTGATGGTAATGATGCTGATGGTGATGCTTATGGTGGTGATGGGGATGATGGTGATGGTGATTGTTATGGTGGTTGTGATGGTGATGACGCCGTTGCTCATGATGGCGATGATGATGGCGATGTTGATGATGCCGGTGATGCTGATTGCGATGACGACGACGACGATGATGCGGATGATGATACTGATGCTGATGCTGCTGATGACGAAGAGGTGTTGCGGATGACGGTGATGCTGATTATGTTGGTGGTGACGATAATGATAATGGCTATTGTGATGATGATGATGATGATGATGATGCGGATGGTGGTGGTGATGACGGTGCTGACTCGTCTCATGGTGGTGGTGATGGTGGTGGTGATTGTGATGATGATGATGATGCTGCTGCTACTGATGATGATGCTGATGATGATGGTGTGGAGGAGGAGAAGGAGGTGGAATGAAGGATGCGCGAATTAGCCGGCTGGAGGACGCGGGGGCGGCGTGGGTGGTCGGCGACGTGTGTCCTGCTCAGGGCTTGCCCCCCCCCCCGAGGTTTTTGCAGCCCAGACCGCTGACGTGTTTTTTGTTCAATCCGTGGGCCCCAGAGCTCTCGTCCCTTTCCCCTGTCCTGGTTTTTCATCCCATGTAGTTCCATGATGGCCGCGGAGCCTAATAAACATCCCCAGGACCCCGTCATAAAAAAGGCAATACGCTGAGGAAGTGCAGGTTTGTGATGAAGAGTTGGAGGAGGACCGTCTTCTCCCCGTGCGTCTTTGGGATCCGATTCCGATGCGTTCGTTCCCTTGTCCCCCCAGGGGGCCTGGGCTTGAGAGGGCAGGGGCATCACATAATCAGCGGACGCGCGGACGCTTCGGTGCGTTCGCCCTTCGGCTGTTGCCAATGCGAGTCGGATGATGCCTTCCTATCGGTGGTCCTCAGGACGTGAGTTGGCCCAGTGGGCGCTCACCCTGATCAGTTCGGCTAGTAGCACGCTGCCCGTGTCGGCCCTAGTTGCACCGCCTGCGTCATGTTAAGGGGCTCCGGTGGGCAAGCACACGCTGGCGCTAACACACCTTCTGAGGATCATCGATCCTAGCACGCTCCCCTCCCCTAGAAAACTGGGTCGAGTACAATTTGCGCTTCGTGATCCCAGCCAGGGGGCTGCGCTATTCTCCGCGCCACGTGCGCCACGTTCGGGGCACGCGCAGAGTGTGTCAGGTGCGCCTGCGCACGTGTCAGTGCACATCAGGAAACGTGTCGGCCCCACCACCCTTGTTGAAAACCAGTGCGCAATCGCGGCGGGATGGCCATTTCAGTGTCTGGTGGGCCTGCACACAGCAGGCAATCTATCAGCCCCCCCGTTGTCCGAGTTAACAACCAATGCGCAGTGATCGCGGGGTGCCCTCGCATGATCCAGATATTGCCTCGAAGTGCATTATGTTTTTACTTTTTGACGGGGATGCTGGCCCTGCGCGCAGCAGGCAGTATGCGGGCACCCCCGCCGTCAATACAAAGTGCTCGCGTTCCCTTGGTTACGACCCAATGTTTTCCACACGAATAAACTCCACGGTGCTTTTGACAGGCATGCTGGGGGTGTCCGCATTGGTCCTGGTTGGCTGCCCGTCGCCTGGGGGAGGGGGGGTTATTCCCCGTATCAT